CATTTCTGGAGGTGCTGGTGTAAGATCCAGGAATGGTGATGGTTCTGTTGTGGGGTGTAGTAATTGTGGGTGTAGGGAGAAGAAGAGGCTGCTGGAGGTGATGGAGCCTAGCAATACCCAGGCAAGTGCAGACACACTGGGAAGCTATGTGCAGTGGATGGGCCTGGAGCTGTTGGCAGGAATGCAGTGTAGGCTGCCACAGGTAGGAGCAGGCTCAGCCCCATGCAGAGTGCTGCAGGACTGTAGGCTGGATACAATCAGTTGGCAGGTGCCTGCCCACAGGCAGGCCAGATCCAATTCCAATTAATTGGTGGGCTGCATTCAGCCCACAAGCTCTGTTTTGCCCACCCCTGCTATAGCCCAATAGGTAGAGCATACTTCTGGGAAATGTGGGTTTACATTACCTCAGACTGAGAGAGGCTTAGAACCCTGGTTTCCCTGGTGCTGGGTTAGTGCTCTGACCACTGGATTGTTATGCAAGAGACTAGCATTACTAGCACAGTCAGGTATTGGCATTCAGAAGATAATTTCTGAATTCTACATGTCTGAAAAGGGCAGAGTTCAAACACACACCCATGTTTAGTGTTTCTTATTGACTAGCTCTAGGCAGCTGCTTGTTCACTCCTTGCATTGACCTTCAGAGGTACCTAACACTCCCCATTGACAGCAAAGGGAATATAGGTACTCATCAATTATCTTTGTTTGAATCACTTTCCTGGAACTAGGCACCTAAGTTTAGGCATGATGAAAATTTTAGACATATAAATGGAAACACCTCAGGGACCAATCTGGATTTTACCTCCATCTTTTTTGGATTTTGTACTGTCACAGCTGAACACTCATTGGGAGATGCAATTAAAAGTTGGATTGTTGTTCAATAAGGCTAATATATGACAGCAGTGTCACATTGGTTCACAAATAATTTTACATGTTCCTGGTTATTTTGCATTTCAATAACAGCCACAGTATGAATATTTATACTGGTCTTTAACATGTACAGGCAAGCACTACAAACAGTATTATAGAAACATATGAGAATGTACTCACTAGCTTGTTCATGGTGCATATCTTCACTCTGGAAAACATTGCATTCATAAGCAGACACCTCGCTTTTCAGTAGGAAGGTCAGAATATTGTCAAGCTTTTCTATGGAAGAAAACTTGAAAGCCTGTTCAGAAGAAAGATACGGGAAAAAATCAGTATGTTTACTACCCACGTTTAATTAACCTTGTCCTTGGAGCAACATAAATCAAAGGATTTAAACTGAATAAATACAAACTCAGTCTCACTAAAGTTTATTTTTTTGAGAGACCACAAAAAGAAGCCTGACTATATACTGTATACTGACATGGGAAGACTAAGATAATTTATCCAAACTAAGGAAAAGTGGATATTTTGGCCCTAAGTATTTGCTATGGCTTTGGTCCTAAATCTCAGCTATAGCTAAAAACTCACTGGGGGGCGGGGGGGGGAGGGGGGGGACAAGGACCAATAAGGTAGTTGCTCTGTTCTTGGTTTAGCCATGCACTGCTCCATGTGTAGTAGCCTCAAGCCTATTCTAAGGTATGTCAGGTGGCAAGAGGCCATTTGGGGATCACCTGGGGACAGAAGAGCCCCTACTGTTCTCCCTAGTCCTGCTGAAGTGAGAAGAGTGGCACAAGTGACTGCACTGAGGGCACTTTTACACATGCATTGACACGTTCTGAGTAGAACATGTCAGTTGGAGAATTCTAACCAGAAAGCTCCAGCGTGCTGCAGCATCTCATGTATTCAGCATCCCCACATTTCAAAAAGGCAACAGTCACTTTAAAGCTTGTTGAAGGCCCCTACTCCCGAGCACATGCATAGGTGCTCTTTAAGTATTCAGCAACTGTGGAAGCCCCCCTTACTTTGCTGCAACAGTTAGCATGAATTACTCCACTTAAGTTAGCTCTCGAGTTGAGGTCTCAAGAGCTGAAAAACAACACTTGGCAGATGCAGACTGATTTAAGTAGCAGTAGTCTGACTGCATTAGCCTCTCTCAGTTTGATACAATTCAAGCTGCCATATCCACAGTGCAGTGTACTAGCCTGAATGGGGATCGACACCACTAGTCCTACAACTCAAAGGCATTCTACCACCCTCCTGCTAAGCCTGGGAGCACTGCTGGAATCAAGCTTTGTGAATGCTTTTCCACATTCTGCACACCACATCAGCAATTAGGCAGAATGGGCAGGTTGGAAGGACCCTGAATGCACACACTCACCAATTTGTTTGCTTTTTGGGGTGGGGGTTCCATTTGGAAACCATATTTAAATACTGCTTTTCAGAATTTTTGTTTTCAAAGCACAAAAAATTATTTTTTTTGCCAAATCCCCCAAAACTGTACTTAAAATTATTTCATTTCCAAGAGCGGATCCAAGTAAGCCCTTGGGGATGGGTCTGCCCAGAGTCTGTGGGATGAGTGCTGCCATTGATGCTCGCCCCTCCTTCTCTCTGTTGATGAACTCAGCAGGGAGAGGGAGGGAGTGGAAGGGAAAACAGCAGCCCTATGTTCACCTCCTGGGCCCCAGAGCCATGTGAAGCAGGGACCCTGGCCAAATTCCACCCTGATCAGCTGGTGAGCTCAGAGGTCACTGCTCATGCAGAGGTCTGGCAGAAGCTTATGCTGACCACACAATAAGCTCAGAGCTGACTGTACATGCATGGCACAGCGGAAGTGGGGAAGCTGCACCCGCTTGCCCTATTCCTAGATCTACTACTGTTAGTTTCTGATTTTTCTTTATAAACAAAATAAAGGAGGATTTTTTTACCAAAATGAAAATTTTGCAGAAAAAACATAGAGTTATATACAAACAGCTTTAGTGTGGACTCTTAGCACCATGCATATGGAGTTCTTTTTTCTATATAAAGATGTAGAATTAGTTAACCCTGTATTTTATGAAACATTCCTGTTCAAATTAGCTTTCTTCACTTGGTTATTGTGTATGTTACACTGAAGCACAACATGTTAGACAGGCCACTAGTATATATATACATACATACATACATACATACATACATACATACATACATATATATATATGTATTGCAGCATGACTATATTTTTAATACAGAAGCACCTGTTATATTTTAGGCACTCTACAGATGTGCAAGAAAACTTGAGTGTGTTGAGTGTGAGTGTGTTTACATGTATGATTAATGTGCAAGAACAAACTCCAAAAACTTACTGCTCCACAGTTTATTCATGTGCAGTACATGGAGCCCTGTTGGATTAGCCCAGCTGGAGCCCTGTTGGAGCAGCCTGGGCTGAGGCACCTTCATGCCTCAGCCTGCCCGCTTAGGGTTGCTCTGATGTGCTGCAGAGTGGGTGACTGAGTCACCCATGGTGCTTCAGCACAGGGATAGCCAGCAGGCAGCCCTCATGCTGAAGCACCCTCATGCCCCAGCTCTGTAGCATGAGGAGCCTGATTGGAGCAGCCAGACCAAGGGCTGCTTCGACTGGGCTCCACATGGTGTGGAGTGGCTGGCTGGGGCATGAGGGTGCTTCAGTGTGGGGGCTGCCTGTACGCCAGCCCCACACTGAAGCACCCTGTGCCCCAGGCAGCTGGGACAGTGTCTACACGTGCGCTGCTGTGCATGAAAACCTCTACTAGGGGGACGTGCAGACGCTGAGACATTTACTGCACAGTTAATTAGTCAACTGCACAGTAACCATTTTGGGGAGACTCGCCCAGTGACTTCTAGCTCATTAATGCTGCATCTTTCTAGAGTAGTGAGGGACCAGCTTCAAGCTGCTAACATGAAGTTTTTTTCAGCAGTTTCTTACCATCTACACATTCCTCTAGAGTAGGGCATGAAACAAAAACAGACCAAAATTCTGGCCTACAAAGTATTCCTATTGCTTGTCAATATTACCATTGTTACGTAGTTAATTTCTTGCAAGTTTAACCACAGCAGTGAGACAGGAGGAATCTGAATACACAAGAGACACACAAAACCATGCATATTAACTGAGGAAAGGTTTTCCATGAGTAAGGAATGATAAGAAATAAGGGCAAGGGCATAAATGGATAACCAGGGTGCTAAGCTAATATAACCAGCAAAATGGAGGGGCTGACAGGGCAACATGATAAGCAGGGATCTTGGTTTTGTCTGATTAAAACTGCCCCCAAATTTTCTGATTTAAAAAAGTAATGCAAAATCCACCAAAATACAAGAAAATGCTGCACATGGTAAATACCTGGGGCAGTATTTTTTTCACCATCCTTTAGGGGCCAGACACTAGTCCTTGCACAAGCCCTGAGCACAAAATAATTATAGCATGCCTTAGAGTGAGCCATGTCAAATGTCATAAAGGTTCCTTTTGTGCTCTCCAACTACCACTATCCTTCTAAGAATAGGCCTGTCCCTTTTATTATGCATCCGTAACAAGCACATGCAGTATATTATGAAACATATGACGTAAAACCCTGGAGAGTGACTGTATGAGATCCAAGAAGGGGGAATGCCAGAAACAAGCTACAAAAACCTGAAGACCTTCCCTAAAAATTAGAAAACAAAACACAGGGAAAAAAAACAAAACAAAGGAACCAAAGAAAAAAAAACAAAAACAAAACCACAAGATCTTCAAGCTAACCTAGCCAATAATGCTTCTAAGGCCAGATCCAAAATCGAGTGCCTAATTCAAAGAATTAAATGTGGACCACAAGTGTCTGTCAGATGATCCAACAACTGCACAGATGCAGGATTCACTGTTCCTTCAAGCAACCCAGAGAGATGCCTATACAGTTTCATAGTTTCATAGTTTCTAGGGTCGGAAGGGACCTGAGCAGATCATCTAGTCCGACCCCCTGCCATGGCAGGAAGAGCACTGGGGTCAAACGACCCCAGTAAGGTGGTCATCCAACCTCCTCTTAAAAACCCCCAGGGTGGGAGCCTGCACCACCTCACTTGGAAGCTG